CAACCTCCGCCTCCCGGGTTCAAGCGATTCTCCTGCCTCAGCCTCCCGAGTAGCTGGGATTACAGGCATGTGCCACCATGCCCAGCTAATTTGTGTATTTTTAGTAGAGACAGTGTTTCACTGTGTTGGCCCAGCTGGTCTCGAACTCCTGACCTTGTGATCCGCCTGCCTCGGTCTCCCAAAGTGCTGGGATTATAAGCGTGAGCCACCGCGCCTGGCCAAGCCTGGCAATATCTTAAATGAGTTGTCACCACACCTTATTTGACCACCTACATATACCTGGATTCCAGATCCCATTACCATTGCCTAAATTTAGCCCTTCATCTCTTACCACTTGAATGATTGCACGAACTTGTTTCCTTACCTCCAAATCCACCTGCAAAACATTATTCATGCTATGGTATTTCTGAAATGTATTTTACCATACGATGTTATGGGAAAGAGATTTGGTGGCGATATATGACTCTTTTTACTAGTAGGAATAGACATTCAACATTTAATTGCTGTCAATGTTTAAATGAAACCCACAGGTCTAAAAAACACAATTGGCCGGGTGCGGTGGCTCACGCCTGAATCCCAGCACTTTGGGAGGCCAAGGCGGGTGGAGCACCCGAAGTCAGGAGTTCGAGATCAGCCTGGCCAACATGGTGAAACCCCATCTCTACTAAAAATATAAAAATTAGCTGGGCGTGGTGGCACATGCCTGTAGTCCCAGCTACTGGAGAGGCTGAGGCAGGAGAATCGCTTGAACCCGGGATGCACAGGTTGCAGTGTGCCAAAATCGTGCCACTGCATTCCAGCCTCAGTGACAGAGCGAGACTGTCTCAAAAAACAAAAAACAACAAAAACAAAAAAACAAACACAATTGTCCCTTGGTATATTCGGGAGGAGTGGTTTAATGACCACTCCACCACCAAGCATACCAAAATCAGAGCATACTTAAGTCCTAAAGTTGGCCCTGCAGAACCCTCCGTATTCATGGGTTTGGCATTTTACAAATACAGTATTTTTGACCTGCATTTGGTTGGAAAAAATCCACCTAAAAGGGGTCAAACCCATGTTGTTCAAGGTTCAAGTGCACAAAGATGACAGAATGTAGGGATTAGAATAAGCCTTTACAAAATCCTTAGAATCAGTGTTAAAATTCTCCATCCTACTGCCACCGTAGAACTCCATTTCAGTTGTCCTCTTATTTGCACAGGCTGCTAGATTCGACCAGGAAGTCTTACTCCGTATTCGCAACTACTTAGACCCTTAGTTACCAACTTAATCACTCTCTATCAAAGCAACTAGATGTTAAGTTTTTCACAAAGTGCCAGCCTCCTCCCTACCTAGCCTGTATCTTTTCCTATTTGGTACAATGCTGGGTGATCCACAAATAAAAAATTGTACTTTAAAAAAATTTCTCAAAAGAATTCCCGCTAAACAGGAGAAATTTCAATTAGCCTAGAACTAAAATGGGGGACACAACCCTCATGCTACTGTAGCAACCACCCTCAACCTGCCCTCCCTGGAAATAGCTAAGTTTAGGAAACTGTATAGCACCAATATCACGACCTATCAATATGGACAAAAAATATGCTATACCCATTCATCTGAACTTAAAAAATTTCACTAACAATCCTTTTTTTTTTGAAAGGGGGTTTCGCCATGTTGGCCAGGCATGAGCCACCATGCCCAGCCCAGAACATTTTTTTTTTGTTTTTGTTTTTGAGACAGTCTTGCTCTACCACCCAGGCTGGAGTGCAGTGGCGCCTCCCAAAGTGCTGTGATTACAGAATTGAGCCACCGTGCCCACCCCAGAAAATGTTAACAGAAGCTTTGAATTAGAGATGAGGTACAATGCACAAGGTTTGGTACCTAGGAAATAAGGACTGATGAGAACCTGTCCAAGTGTTTGAACACAAAATATATTTTTTAAATTATAGCCAAGTGACACACACCTTAATACTGGCACTTGGGGAGGCCAAGGCAGGCCTATCACTTGAACTTAGGAGTTCGATACCAGCTTGGGAAACATGGAGACCCGTCTCTCCAAAATATGTAAGTCCACCAGGTGTGGTGCTTGAGATGTGACTGCACCACTGCACTCCAGCCTGGCGAAGCTGGAGAGCAATGGCACAATCTGGGCTGACTGCAACCTCTGCCTCCTGGGTTCAAGCGATTCTCCTGCCTCAGCCTCCTAAGTAGCTGGGATTACAGGCGCATGACACCACACCCAGCTAATTTTTTTGTATTACTGATAGAGAAGGGGTTTCATGATGTTGGCCAGGCTGGTTTTGAACTCCTGACCTTAGGTGATCCTCCTGCCTCAGCCTCCCAAAGTGCTGGGATTACAGGCGTGACCACCATGCCCAGCCTTTTTTCTTTTGGAGAAACTTCTGTCTACAAAAAAGTTCGTGGTGCAATCTTGGCTCACTGCATCCCCAATGGCCCGGGTTCCATTGATCCTCCCACCTCAGCTTCCAGAGTAGGTGGGATTACAGGAATGCGCCATCACACCCAGCTAATTTTTTTGTGAAAATAGGGATTCGCAGGCTGGGCGTGGTGGCTTATGCCTATAATCCCAGCACTTT